GAGGATGATGTGAATCCCCGATGTGGCCCCTCTTGGGGCCCTCGTGGGCCCCTCTTGGGGCCAGGGCACACCCGAGCCAAACGATCTCCAGACCGCGCGATCTCCAACCCTCGGCGCACACATCTGCTAGAATGCGTCAGGAACACAGGAGTTCAGCCGACCATATCTATAGGCATTCGTATCATAAACACATATGTGTATATACATGTACGTACACACGGTCACATGTGCACTTATGTTTGGCTGAGCTGGCATGCGCGTACACATACATATCTTAAGATGATGAAGGCCTTCTTTGGGCCGAAGCACGTTCCATTCTGGTTGTGCACATATATGTATATATATACATGTGCAACAACAGGTTCGCCCTTACCCCTTCTCCTTTTTGTTGCGCGTCCTGGATCACGTCGAAGTGGGGCTGGAACGGCACGCGCAGGTCGCGCACCTTGTTCTTCACGTCGTCGATCAAGGTCAAGATTGCAGCAGGGGCGATCGTGAACGAAGGCGTGCGATTAAACGCCAATGTAGCAACTGCAACCAAATGAACGTAGGACGGTTCCGAAAGATAGACCAAGCCTGCGTTCACAAGAATTCGCGCCATCATCTCAACTTTGGCGTCGTACGTCGTACTCACAGATACCAGTTTCACCCACTGGTCCTTGGTGAGGTAATTCTGAATCGTGAAGCACTTCTGGTGGCGCCCAGACCCAGCGGACGCACCGCCACGCTGCGCGACCCGCCCCGTAGCGACAACACTCACGCCCACTTTGAGACCTGGGGCTCAGATGCGAGCCCCTTATCCTCCTCACCCTCCTCCTCATCCTCCTCCTCATCTTCCTCCTCGCTCCTCCTCCCTCCTCCCTCCTCCCTCCTCCCTCCCCCCTCCCTTCTCCTCTCCATCCTCTCCTCCCTCCTCCTCCTGCCCTTGGGGCTCCTAGTCGCGGCGAGCCGTCGGCACTAGAAGACCCGTTTCTCCTTGCTGCTCCTCCTCCTCCTCGCCCCCCATCTTCCTCGGGATTGCGTTTAGAGCCGCGGCACCGATCTTGTTCGCCAGCTCCTGGCGCTGCGCGCGGGTGAAGGCGTCCCCCGCCTCCGCCAGGACCCTGGCAACGACGACGAATACAAAGACGGCGACGACAACGACGACGATTGACGACGACGGGCAAAAAAGGGGAAGGTGGGGGAGGAGGTGGAGGACGCGGACGAGGTGACGGAGGAGGCGGTGGCGGAGGTGGCCTCAGACACGCCGTGGCGTCGCCAGCCGTCATGCCGACCACGTAGTCCAGCTCTGTCATGACGGCGTCGAACCTGGCAGCGGCGTCTCAACGCGTTAGTGTTGTTGCTGGTGTTGTCGGTGGTGTTGTCGGTGTTGCTGTTGTTGTCGTTGTCGATGTCGTCGTTGTTGTTGTTGCTGGTGTTGTTGTTGTTGCTGTTGGTTGGTGGTGCTGTTGGTGTTGCTGGTGTTGATGTTGCTATGGTTGGTGCTGTTGCTGTTGCTGTTGCTGTTGTTGTCGGATGGTGCTATAAGGCTAAGGGGTTACAGGGCTAAAGGCATATCGCGAAAACGCTGCAGGGCGATACTCAGGCAAATTTTTGAAATTTGCCTGATCATCGCCCCTCAGTGGTTTTCGCTCCCTTGTTGTTGTTATTGGTGGTGCTGCTGCTGATGCTGATGATGCTACTGCTGCTGCTGATGATACTGATGTTGCTGCTGTTGTTGTTGTTAGTGGCGTTGGTGTGGTTGGTGGTGGTGTTGTTTGTATTGTTGTTGCTGGTGGTTGCGTAGCTGTTAGTGTTGTTGGTGTTGGTGTTGGTAGCGTTGTAGTTGTTGCTGGTGTTGTTGTTGTAGTTGTTGTTGGTGTTGTTGTTGTTGTTGTGGTTGTTGTTGTTGTTGCTGCTGCTGTTGTTGCTGTTGGTGGTGATTGTGGTGTTGTTGTTGTTGTTTAGGGGATTGGGCCCCGTCTACCCCTCGTTTGTCCTGGGGCGACGGGGGCGGTATGCCCGCAAAAAACTAAGTTTTTTACACATTACCCAGGTGGCGGCGGTGGGAACCTTGGCGGCAGCTGGTCGCCCCCGACTGTCGCCATGGCTGCGATCAAGTCCACGTGGCCGCGCAGGGCCGCTTGGAAGTCTGCGCCAGTCAGGGTGCGTGCTGCCATTCCGTCAAATATGTTCACAAACGCAGCCAAGGCGGGGCGGACCCTCAGCGCTTGACCCTGAATGTACGACAGAGGGGGGATGGGGGGCATGTAGGATCACGCTGTATGAAGCATCGTCCCTCCTCATTCCTCCTCCTTCTCCTCCTCACTCCTCCCTCCTCCCTCCCCCCCCCTCCCCCCTCCTCCATCCCCCACCCCCCTCACCCCTTCCTAATTCCACTCCCCCCCTCCCTCTCCCTCACCCTCTCCCCTTTCCCATACACTTCATTCTCCGCCCCTCCTCCTTCATTCTTCCCCCCCCCCCTCGCCCTACCTCCCCCCCGCGCGTTCCCCACCCTCCCCCCCTCCCCCCCCCCCCCCCATCTATCCCCCACATCCTCCTTCATTTATCTCCTTCCTCCTCCTTCTCCTTACTCCTGGGGCCGATCTCCCGACCTTTCCCCCCCACAGGAGGCGGGCAGGGGGGGCAGGATTCCCGACTTTGGGCCCCTCGACCCCCATCTGGGGGCCCAGAACTCCCGACGTTGGGCCCCTCGACCCTCGCGCCGTAGCGTCGTCCACCACCCCCCTTGGCAAAGACAACACCCGCGAAGGACGCGAGAGGGACGTGCGAGGGACTGCTGAGGGACGGCTGAGGGACGCCTGAGGGACGCGTCCCTCAGCCGTCCCTCAGCCGTCCCGCATGCGTCCCTCATCGGTCCCTCATCGGTCCCTCATCGGTCCCTCATGGTTTGGGGGTGGCGGGTGGTGGCGGGTGCAGGGTGGGGGAGGGGGGGGGGGGGGGGGAGGGGAGGAAGGAGGTGGGTGAGGGGGGGGGGGTGGATCACCTCGGGGTAGAGGTGGTGGGGTAAACGACTCAACGTGTTAAGCAAGGGCTGAGGGCGGAGGAGAAGTAAAGACAGAGAGAGGAAGCAGGGTTAGGGCGATTGAAAGGAGCCCCTAGTGCTGACGGCTCGCCGCAACTAGGGTACCCACGAGCAGGAGGAGGAGGAGGGGGGAGAAGGGAGGAGGAGGGAGGAGGGAGGGAGGGAGGCGGGAACTGGGTTGGAGGTGACACTTTCACCTCAGCCTGTTGCGCACGCACGGACGGGTGCTGTCGGGAAACTCAGCTTGCGTGCTTGTTACGAGGGCCTCACGCCGCATCGGCCTGCAAGCCGCTAACAACCCACAGCTAGCGTATGGCCTAGCAAACCTCAGCGCGAAGACAACATCGTAAACCCATGTGACCAGTGGCGTGCCATCTGGACCGAAAAACTCCCCAGCTCCTCAGCTCTCATCACCCTGCTCATCGGGCTGCAACTCCTCCAGGTCCGACATGATCTTCGCATGCAGCTTCGTGGACTCCGTCAGCAGCTGCTTCGCCTTGGTAAGGCACTGCGCCACCTCCGTCTTCTCACCCACGCCCGCGGTGAGCAGCTCGTCGACGCGCTGCTTCGTCTGGTCCAGCTCCTTGCTGGCGGCATCCGCCTTATCGAGAGCCTTCTTGGCCACGAGGCCCTCTGCCTGCGGTGGCGAATGGTTTGTGATGTTATTCCTCCCCCTCCTCCTCCGCCGCCGCCGCCTCCTCCTCCTCCTCATCCTCCCCCCTCCCCCCTCCTCCCTCCTGCCTCCCTCCTCCTCTCCCTCCCCCCCTTCCTCCTCCTCCTGCTCTTGGGGCTCCTAGTCGCGGCGAACCGTCATCACTAGGAGCCCCTTCTCTCCCTGCTCCTCCTCTTCCTCCTCCTCTCGCCTCCTCGGCCTTTGCCTCGAGGACGGCGGCCGCCATCTTGACCGCCATCTCGCCGAGCTTCGGCGAGGCCTTGGTGAGCTCGTTCTTCTGCCCCCTGCCTATGACAGGGGCGGTCGATTTCTGGGGCTTCACGCGAGGTGCAGCCTCTGCGTCGGGAGCCTCGGCCTTGATGCGCTTGGCCTTCTTCGTAAAAGTCTCGGTGGCCATCGAGATCCTCTTCTCGTTCTGCGAGCTCGAACCCTGCGACATGCTCATGTTGTAACGGGGCTCCCACACCATATCGCACTGGTACTCGGGCGAGAAGAAGCCGTGACTGTGGGTGATCAGTATCTCCACGTCCGCCTTCTTGCGCTTCCCACTCTTGACGTCATCCCACAAGTCGCGCACCTTCACGAAGCCACCATCAGCCTTGAACTCCATTGACGACTTCTTGACCATGAGCATCATGGCGGACGCTTGGAGCTTCTTCTTGAGGTCGTCGCCCATCAAGCCGTTGTTCTCTTGGAAGAAGGTCACCCTGTCAGCTTCGCCCATGTCGGTCAAGACGGTCTGGAGGCTCTCGTTGTTGCTGGTGATGCGCTCGACGCGCTTCTTGAAGGCCGCGCAAGGCTTGCACCTGAGCTGCTGGGAGATCTCAGTGATGGGGTTCTCGCCCCTGACGTTCGACCTCTGATCCCAAGGCTTCTTCTGGCGGCAAGTGCAGCACGTAAACTCCATCGGGGTCACGCACGTGGGCTGCTCTGGCAGTGTGGCAAGCGCCGTTGCCTCAACCAGAGTCGGCATGGAACCTGCGGACATCGCGGGACCTTGGAAGAACTGGTTGCGCCCGATTGAATCTTGAAGGGGCGGGGGGGTGCCCTGGCGACGCGGCGGACCGTCACACACCTGAGCTGAAATTGCAACAATGTAGACAACAAAAAAGGTGCAGCGGCCAGCCGTCACGCACCCCAATCTATGTTTCAAACCATCGCACCCAAGGAAACTCGCTATTTCAGACCCACGTCCCCGAATGCATACAACGGCTGCGCGCGTGTACACGCGCACAAAAGCACAGCTCGATCACGGTGCTTGTTGCCCCGCTATCCTACAACATGTACGGGTGGCGGGCACTCTCAGATGAAGTACGCCCTGCGAGCGTGCACGACCTCTCGCACTACTGCTTCGAGCGCAGGAATGTCATTGAAGCCCTGATCCTCCACGTCGCCTGCAGTCATCTCGAGAACCCTTCCAGAGACCACGAACGCTGGCTGCTCGGGGCTGATGGTCGTCGCGAAGCTCCTTGCACCTGCGGGCGGGCTTGGTCGGCAAGAGGACGGTGTGCTGGAGGCATCTGCGGGCAAGCTGTCGCCCTGAAGCCGTGGGGGGTCGCACTCCATGCTCCAGTCGTCGTGCGCAGGTATGTCGCGCACATTGCTGTCCAAGTACCGAGCTGTGGCAGCCTGCGTGGCCTGCTCAGCCGCCCTCCTGGACATGTCCGTCAAGCTGTCAGCGCTGATGCCGTTCTTCTGCAGGATGCCCCACGTCATCGAGACAGCTGCTGCCTCCATGCCCAACGGCCCCTGAAGAGGTGGGGCAAGCCTGCCGCCCCTTCAGCGGCCACTGCCCCCCGCCCACTCCGCGACGGCGTCGACGGGGTGGGGGTGGGCCTTGGCCGACGCAAGGGGCAGGTAAGCTTGGCCACCCCCAACCGTAATCTTCAGCGTCTTCACCTCGTTCCTCCGTGCTCGATGCTGGACCTCGCAACCCACGGCTCTCCGGATGAGGTCCTTGTCCGCAGACGTGACTTTGCCCTCGGCCTGGGGCACCTCGATGTAGAACTGCGTGGGATTCTTTTTATGTGTAGCAATTATATTACAAGCCATCTTGATACAAACGGCTATGCAGCCGCGGCGTGCCGTCTGAGCTGCAGGAAAGAGGAGATGGGGGAGAAGGGGATGGCAAGAAAAGGGGGAGGGGCCGTTGTTGTCGTTATCGCAGCCGCCCTCGTCGTGATTGTTGTCGCCGTTGCCGTCGTCATTGTCGCTAGCCGTTGTGTTCGTCGTTCGTCGTCTTCGTCGAGATCAATGTCGTCTGTCGTCGGCGTCCTCCTGTAAGAATTCACTGTAGTTTAGTACCGGTTCGTTGGTCGTATCTCGTGGGCAGCCGTGGTCGGTCGTCACCCTTTTGCGTTTTCATCTAGCGGACGGTTTTGTTTTACACGCGATACCTCGTGTCCTCCCCCATCCTCATCTTCCTCCTTCTCCTCCTCCTCCCTTCCGCCTCCTCCCTCCTCCTCCTCCCTCCTACTCCTCCTACTCCATCCTCCCTCCTCCTCCCTCCTTCCTCCTCCTATCTCCCTCCGCCCTCCTCCCTCCTCCCTCCTCCTCCCTCACCCCTCATCCCTCATCCCTCATCCCTCATCCCTCCCCCCTCCTCCCTCCTCCTCCTCCTCCTCCGTTTCCTGCTCCCCCTCCTCTTCCTCCATCTCCTAACCCCACTGGTTTGTCTCAGCCAACGCTGGGGGGCAAGGGTCATTCACTGCACCCCGAAGCCAGCAAGCCTGGGCACAAACGGTTGAACGCCATCGTCGTGTTGAAACCAATGGAGCGTCTGAACTACGCAAGAAGCAAGGGAAACTGACAACTTGGCGTCTGTCAACATACGATCGGGGTTCCCTGCAGAACGGTGGTATTTCATATAGATTACAACGCAAGGCCGATCACGGCTACCCATCTGCAAACACGAACATAACATAACGATGCGACCAACTACGTGCCCATGTCTCTTCCGAAGCCGCGCGGCGCCGAAGGCGCAAGCAGGCGTGAGGAACCAGGACGGCGCTCCCGCCTGAGACTTCGTCACAATTGCGGGCATCCCAAGGAAACGCAACATCTCCACCACGCCCTACCCTCTCTCCACTTTCCCGCAAAACGCGTTCCTCCCCCTCCTCGCCCCCCGCGTCCTCCCCCCCCCGCCCTTGCCCATTCCAGCCCTGTAGGATGAGGAGGAGGAAGAGGAGGAGGAGGAGGAGGAGGAAGAGGACGGGGAGAAGGAGGAGGAGGAGGAGGAGGGGGAGAAGGAGGACGACGAGGGGGAGGAGGAGGAGGAGGAGGAGGAGGAGGAGGAGGAGGAGCCTCTTCTTGCTGGCGGCGAGCGCGGAAGCGCGATGATGAGTACGAAATCATCTTTGGCAAGCGTTCCCACGACGGCGTGCATCCGTGTCGAATAGTGCACGTCGTGAATCGACCCATCTGACACAGTGCGTACAACCGCTTGTATGACATCGTTTTCAGAACAAGGCTTCGGGTTGCACAGGCGCTCGGGAACACACTCGAAGTCGTCTGGCGCGAACATGTCCAGAACGCTCCGCATCAGAACGTGATCCTCCCAATGACGGCCACGGCCGTAATCTGCAACGCACTTGGCCACGCGGTGTCGCCGCTCCATGGCGAAGCACGAGAGGTTCGCCTGCCACTTCTCCATGGCAGGACCGATGTGCATGTTGTAGTGCCCTTTGGGCTTGACCATGTCCGCCCCGTAGGCGGCGATGAACGCGCGGTGGTGCCGATCAACGAGAGTTGTAAGGTTGCCAGACATCTCCACTGCGTACGGCGAGCACAACAAATCTATGATATCACACATGAGCAGGAACGACTCGACTTGTAGTGGCACTTTGCCCGTAGGCACAACAACGCAGACCGTGAACGCCAACAAAGGTGCGATGGCAGACAGCGTCGTAGAAGCGAACCCGCGGACGTGGCCGTTGACTCTGTCCACCACGTGCTGCTCGAAAAAACCGCCGCGGCGCCTTGGCCTTACCAGCGGGGTACTGCAAATGGCTTGCATACAAATCGATTCTGGCCTTGTCCCACCCCTCGTCAACAAGTGCGTGCACATACATGTTCATCTCGTACTGGCACGAACCACCACTTGCTAATTGGTTGTGCATCCAGTCAAAGAAAGTACCAGAGACGGGCTTCACATGCTGGCGAAGCGGGATGTCGTAGACCAAACCTTCACTGTCGTATGTGATGCCGTACGCCTTCTCCAGGCGCTTGAACTGAGCAACGCTTGCCACTGGTTTTTGTACTTTGAGATCATCTGCCATCTCCCAATACTCGTCGTCTGACTGGGCCAGAAAATCACCTGACACGCCCACCTGAAAGTTGACCAAACCGTCGCCTGCCACAAGCCTGGACGGGGGGATGGACGTTGCATTTCGGCAGCAATGGCACGGGCGAAGTCCACCTGACCCCTTGAAGCCCCAAGTGTACTTGTGTGCCCGTTCATCTTGGATGAACGGGCCCATTTGCAATCTAATTGAGAAGGCCCCTGCTGGACCAGTCACTAACACAGCACCGCGGCTCATGTTCCCAAAAAACACATGGCACGTCTGTTGAATTATTGTTGACAAACCACTAAGTACGTTTGATTGTTCCGCCACCCTCATCATTCCAAACACCATCCAGCCGTGAGTTCTCGTGCGCCACCAGTGGGGCATCTCCAGCAATGACCAATACACGCACTGCAAGCTGCGAGACGTGTCTGTCTCAGGCCTGAGAGCGCTGCCAGGCGTGGTCTCGTCGCTGTACAGCGCAACCGTGAGCGGCCTCGCCCCGCGGGCGGTCGCCTCATAGATCATGGCAGCGAACGGGGGCGATCGTCTACACCTGGGCTGATGCGTCAGAATCCCCCCCTCGCCCCCCCAATTCCGTTCCCCCCCTTCGCCTCCGAGGAGGAGGAAGGGGGGGGGGGGGGGGGGGGGGGGGGGAGGAGTGAGGCGGAGGAGGAGGGCGGAGGGAGGAGGAGGAGGAGGAGGGAGGAGAGGGGGGAAGGGGGAAGGAGGAGGGAGGATGGAGGAGGAGGAGAAGAAGGAGAAGGAGGAGGAAGGCCTTCCCCCCCGATCAAGGGGGTAGAACGGATTTGGGCCCAAACTTGCCGTTCGAATAGCAGGGCAAACGGGTTCACCACGAGCCACTGCATATCAGGGGCCCCGTCTTTGCAACGAAGTGGGATTCTGTGCATCAGCGGGCCTGCTGGTGTAAGAACGTTCACGTGATCATGTAGTTGTCGCTGAGCTGTTGACAGGCTGCGGCCAATATCTGATGCTTCGGCAATATCGTAATGTTCTCTGAAGTCTTGGTCCAAGCGTTGAATCTGCCGTAAAGAAAGGTTAGTGTGCCGCTGTGCTATACATATTTCTACTCGTGGTCGCTTCGACATCAAAACCTTGGCCCAAAAAAATGTCAGCGGCGAGCCGTCTGACAGCTGCGGAAAAGAGAATGAGGAGGTGGAGGAGTAAGATGAGGCACACCTTGCAAATTGACAGCCTGGGTTAATCACAAGTTAATGTGAAGTTAATGTCAAGTTAACCTCAAGTTAATCTCAAGCTAATCGAATAGGAATCGTTTGCAATCGTTTGTGCTAATCTTTATAATGCTATTGCGGTTGGCATTGCATTCGATTAGGACGAAATAGAGCGTGACAGATTAGGAATCATTGTAGGGATTGCAATCCTTGCAATGTGATTGTTAATTGACCGAGGCTCCTAAATAGATTGCAAGGATTAACTACGATTGTAAATGATTGCTATGGATTGCAATCAATTGCAATGCGCATTGCAATTGATTGCAAACGGAATGGAATCCCGACAACCGCAAGACCCATCAAGTAGGACCACCCTGGGGCGACGCGGGCGCCCTGAGCTGGCGGCGGCGGCAGCGTCGGGCACGCCGGCGCCCGTTGGCGCAGCGCGCGCAAGGGCGGCCTGCGCGGCGGCTCGGCGGGCGTCGGCCTGGCTAGCGCCCTTGGCACCCCAGCGGTGCCATGGGCAACCGGCGCCATCGATGTCAGCTGGAGTGCCGGGCGCAGGCGCCCAGGACCTTCCCGGGCTGCCGAGGCCAGTGGGAAACAGGTCAGAACTCCGTCCCCGTCGCCGTCGTCGTAGTCTCAGTCGTCGCGGAGACGCCCGTCGACGATCACCAGGTTAGACAAGACCGCCCAGCCTGGGCACTGGACGCACGGGGCCCCCGCGGTGGACGCACGCACCTCCAGCCACTGTCCAAAAGTTGCCGCCCTGGCGCCATGCCAGCTGGTCGGGGGGTCCACGATCTACTTGCTGCGTCGGGCGGCGGCGGTACACGCCAGACAGACAGTCAACCTTCTCCCACGCGCCTTTCTGGCAGGTCTCGCAATGCTAGCCATGGAAACGGTCTAGCTCGATTTAGCGAATGAAGGCGGCTCGGCGGCGTTGGAACCCGGGTTTGCCGCCAGCGCCCCGCGCGGCCCCCCGCGGGTCACGCGGTTGGCAGGCCAGCCAGCGAAACCTGAGCCCTTAGCTTCCCTTGACAATGGCCGGATCGGCGCCCAGTCAGGTCAACCAGACGGCGCCTGATGGTCGCGTGCGCTCGCTAAGGGCCAGCGCGCCGAGGCACGCAGGGAGCTGCGTCCCATTGAGGAAAGGTCTGCCGCCCTGAGTCTCCCATTTGTCGCTCTTGCTTCGAGCGCCTCCGCCACAACAGAGGCAGTTGCGGGATCGGGGAGGCGCCGTTAGCTTGGCCGTGCCAGACCGCTCAGGCTCGGACGGCCGCGCCGCCGATCTGCCGATCGACCCAGAAGGCCCCGACCGTGGCCAGTCAGTCACTGGCGACGTTGAACTGCACGTTAAGCCGCCTGACGGCTTGCCAGGTGAGCGCCCATCCTCGTTCAACGAGGGGCCGCGGGCCCAGGTCCATCTGCGCGGCCAAAGAGAGACGCCAATAGTGCCCCGCGCCCGCGCCCTATCGGACGGCGGACAAACTATCGCCCACAACGCGGT